AAGATAGATTCATAGATCTCCGTGAAAGTCGAATCATTCTTAATGGAAATGATGTGCAGAGAATCATGGTACCGACAACTTCCAATGATACCACCGGCGATGGGGTTTGATTCACCATTTGCTGCCATTGTGGGAAATTACAGTTTTTTTTCGCGGTCGGAAAACAAAAAGTTGTAACAGAGAATATGAGGAAACGAAGAGGAGAGAGAAGCAGAAGAGAAAAAATGGAAGAAAAAGGAGAGATGAGAGAGAGTGTAGAAGAAAGAGGAGAGAGGAGAGAGAGTGTAGAAGAAATAGAAGAAAGAGGAGAGAGGAGAGAGGAGAGAGAGTGTATAAAGTGGAAAAAAGTGGGGTCAGGGACTGAACTGCATGTCTATGTTTGCTGTAGGGACTGACCCGCTAGTGAAACATTACTGGGGACTGACCCGTATGTTAGTTTTTGAGTTGGGGATTTATCTGTACTTGTCCCATAATTTATTCTACTTCAATTTATATGAATAAAGCTAAGTACATTTATAGTTAATTAGTTACTTATAAATATGTACATTATTTAGTCACTAATTACATAATCTCTGCATAAATTTGACAACAAGAAGAAATCCATGGCCAGAATTGGAATCAAGAACACAAAAATAATGCTTACAAAACCATTCTCAGTGTACGTAATTATTTCTCATAATTAATTTATGTTTCTTTTTATTTTTTACAATTATTTGTGACACCAATTTTAGCAAGAATCAATATTAATATATATAATATTATTAATATCTGTATGTATATATTTGTGTGTGTGTACAGGCATGGATTAGGAATTGGACTACGTAATCGCACGAGCAAGGCGGCGAGAGAAAATCAACGGAGAAACGGTGAGGAAGTCACGGCGGCGGCGGGCGGCGGCGAGAGGGCGGAGAAAACGGCGGAGAGGTGGTGGATGCCACACCCGCGCACCGGAATATACTTTCCGCCGGGACAAGAATGGGTGATGGACGGTATACCAAACGGCGCCGCTTCGTTTGATTGTACCTTCTGGTTGAGGAGTATTGACGGAGTTGATCATCACCGTGATTAATTAAATTACGGCCACAACTACCGTAATTAAAAATCATAATTATATAATTAGTAATTAATCTCTATGTTTAGATTTTAAGTATATTGGAGTAATGATGTATTCTAAACAAGTTTGTACTGTATCTTTTACTACACAAAAATAATGCTATATCTCAAAATTTTATAGAATAATTTTATATTTAAAATTATGAGCAAATTCCACTTTACCCCTCGTAATTTCATACTGTCGATTGTATATCATTTCGTTTCGTATGAGTAATTTTTTTACTTTACCATTTATACCCTTCTAATTTTATAAGCAATTTCAGATAATAGAATATGTTTATATTGTAATAATTTTTCAACTTCATTATTTGATACTTTATTAAAGTTTTATATTATTTAAAATTTTATTATCATTAATTGAGGCAAATTGAAAAATAAGTTAAATTTGAATTCTATTAATATTAAATTTTTATTGAAGTAATGTTACAATAATACATATTTTAGGACAATTACATCATTTTTGAGGGTGTAAAGTGACACTATAAAATGGTAAAATTGCATAGTGAGAAGAAATAGATAGTATAAGGGGTAAAATGATAATAAAAAATAATAGAAGGGGTAAACTGCAAAGTTAAAACCTCGCTATAAAACAACATTCTCTTGAGTAAAAAAAATTAATTCAAGTGTTCTAAGATTTTTTTCTCAGCTAAACCCCGAACTGGGTTTAGGGATGAGCACTTCCAATTTGGTAGCAGAATCAGTTTGGCGGGCTATCGGGTCGACCCGCTCAGGTCCGTAATCAATTTTCTTCCTCCAACATTATTTTATTTTATTTTGTGAATTGACATTTTCTCATTTGATCAAAATCAAAATCAAAATCAAAATCAAAATCAAAATCAAAATCAGTGACCGACGATCAGCTCTCAATGTGAGTATCATCAAACTCAAAATCAAATTATTTACATTTACTTTCTGGTTATCGAAGCACTGTATTTTTAATATTTAATTGTTTAATTTTTTAATTAATTTTTTTTAAAATTCAGATTGCATTTTACATATGGGAAAAATTTCGAGAGAGCTGTGAGGATATTTGATCAAAGGGGTGTGAAGATGATTTCTGGGTTGCCCAGTGGCAGATCCATTTTCCAGGTACTTTTTTTTCTTTTTTCTTTTTCTTTTTTAATGGTGAAATTCATAATTATTATTAGGGTAAATTACACTTACACCCATGAGGTATGCTAAAATAACTTTACGGTCACTTTAGTATTGGTAATTACAGCCACACCCATGAAACAATTGTCGGAGTCAAGCTTTCATGTCTAGGGGACTGATATGCACTACATTTGTTTCCACCACTGCCTGAAAGAAACTAATAGTTCGTTAAAACCCTAACGGAATAACTTATCTAATGCATTATTCCGTTATGATTCATAACAATGTTTTGGGGAGATTGTAATTAATGATACTACATGGACTTTAAAGTTATTTAACCATATCTCAGGGGTGTAGGTAATTTACCTTTATTATTATTGTTATTATTTATATTTTATTTTATTTATTTATTATTTGTTCAGGTAGTAGGAGAGTCAAGGAGGAAGGAGGAATATATGTGCTTTGCAGAACATTATTGTGGTTGTTATTCATTTTTCTATGACATTGTTAACAGAGGGGAAGAGCTTTGTGTGAGTTTTACTTTTATTTTCCACCGTTATTCTATTATTCGATTCTCGAATTTAATGAGGTTAAAATGGGAATATTTGATTAATAAATGTCTTCCTATTTTCAGTGTAAGCATCAACTAGCTGCTAGACTCGCCGCCTCGACCGGAACTTGCATCGATGCTAAGGTTTCTGATGAGGAATTTGCCTTACTTTTATCCAAGCTCTGAAATCTCCAACTAGGGTTAGTGTGTGTGCGCGTGCATGCTAGGGTTTTTTCGTGTTTCTTTTTTTGGTTCAGATAATAGGGTTACTGATTTTAGAAGATTGTTAAACTTACATGTAAGGTTTGTTTTAGGGTGCATGCGATGAACTTTATTAGTTGTAATTTTATCGTACTCGTGTATATAAATAGTACATGTTTTACCCACATATATATGTTTGTTATTGTATGTTCATATATATATGGTGATGTCATATCCGGTGTGTATTTCACCGTGTGTAGCATCTGTACACGATTGTAAAATTTATCTAGAGGTATCATATTTATGATTTTGTTTTTGACAATTTTACAACTAGTTTACAGTTTTACATATTCATCACTCAATAAAAGGCATATATAATATATATAATCATTTGTATAAAAGAAGTGATGGAATATTAGCAAATAGAAGAGCAATCTTACATAATATAAAATATTAGGCAAAATCGAAGTTAAAACCGTAGATCCTTAAAAGAAATACACTCGAGATAGACGATTTAAAATGCAGATACTTGCAGTCACTACAAATAACTGCAATTTCAAAAGGCAAAATTACCAGAGAGATTAGCTTCAAAATCTGATCTATAAATGCAAAATAGGTTTTGCTAGCATACCCTAAAACCGAATGTAATCAAACCGACGTAAAAAACTTCATTTACAAAGAAAGGGGTGCTTTAGTCTTTCAATATTTGGGCACTCAAGTTACGACTTTAAGAAAATGTGGACTGATCAAACCAGCAATCTCGAGGAAGCCCACACGATCCTTTCCTGCAAAGATCGTCTTCAGCTTATCGTCACAGACGATGACTTTTTTGTCTGCCGGATCCTGAAAAAAAAATTGTTTTTTTTTTAATTACCAAGTCAGTTCTAATCCCATCTATTAATCCGAAAGATTAAAAAAACAATTAAGCAGAAATCAATACAAAGTGTAGTAACTGTCGACATTTTGAAGATGTGGATAACCCCTAGCACAATATCAAGAACGATCCAATCAAAATGCCGATATAAAAACACGAGATTTAACCATATAAAAATAATACAAACATATCGATAAGGTCTTACGTGGTGGGATGTTTGTAATAGATGTACCGAATCTACACACATCAAATAAACTCGATACAGAACTCAGAAAGAAATACTCGATTCACAAGGTAACAATACCGATGACCTAGAATATAAGGCTCAATAGATTCTTCGAGTGTTCTACATCTCAATTATGTAGAGTAGGTTAAAATTGCACTTCTAAACGCGTTATATTCTATCATCAACATAATTTACATCGGTTCAAAATTACAAATGGTGCATAACAGTTTGACGAGTAAATTTCAAAATCGTACAAAATAACATAAGCTGTTCGTTCATCGACGAACCTTCCCTTCACCCAATAGCACCACCGAAATCTTAAACTTGTGCGCATTTAAATCAAATATATTCGGATCAAGCACTAGGCTGTACTATTAATTGTCGATTCGACATAGTTTATCCGAGTTAGCATACATATACATAAGCTGATAAAAATCAATCTCAGTCAGAACACAAATTACACATTAAACAGAGTATTTTCACAACTGTCAACATCACAATAAAAAAATTGAAAAAAAAAATTAAATACGAAGCTAAATAATTTCACATATGCTAGAAGACGAACAGGCTAGGGTTTCAAAAAAAATGGATATACCTGAAGATTGTGGAGCTTGATGTAAGCCCAGATCTCTTTGAGCGCCTGAGTACGGGGAATCTCCGACATGCCGCCGAGGAACGCCTGCATTTCCGGCGACACAGGGCGCGGCTTCATTATACCTCTCGGCTCCCGCTTCTTCGTCTCCACAGCCGGCTTCGCCGCCGCTGCCGTAATCCTCACGGGGCGCGCGTTAGCGGGGACGAGCTTAACGGCGAAGGGAGACAACGACGACGACGACTTCACGAACGACCCCGTTTCTCCTGCAAACAAACACGAAGTCATGCGCAGAGACACCGCCATTTTTGTTTTTCCTGCAGCAGTGTGCGAGAATCTGTACTGGATTTGTGAGCTAGTTATAGCAGTTGCAGTGGATTCAAGAGAGAGAGAGAGAGAGAGAAGATAGA